AAATATATTTTTATAATATAAATAATAATGAATTTTTTGTTATTTTGTTAACTCGGTGAACCGACCAAATAAATTGATTATTTCAATTCGATTTTAGTTTGAATTTGGACACAAAAAAAAAAATAAAAAAAAAATCACACACTACATAATGCACAATGGGTGGCTTATTTATTAAAAAAAAAAAAATAAGTAGACAAAAAAAAAATAAAGTGTGGACAAAAATCAAACACACGTATTCTCGGAATACGTTTTTCTAATTAAAATTAATTATAAAAAACGTATTCCGAGAATACGTTTGTATTTTTTTCTAAATTAAAAAAATGAACACAAAATTCCTTTAATATTCAAATATAAAAAAAAAATAATAAATATAAAACGTATTTTTGAAATACGTTTTAAGCAAAATCGTATTTTCAGAATACGTTTTTAATAACCAAAAAACGTTTTCAAAATACGATTTGTATTTTTCTATTTTTAAATAAATACGTTTTTAAACTGTCGGTAACCGTGTTCTCGGAATACGTTTTTTAATTAGATGTAAAAAAATAAATTCTTCCATTTCATTTGCGCAGAGAGATCAGCGAAGCAAGCAAAAGAGGAGCAAAAGAAAAGAAAGAGAAGCGAATACAATCGGAAAAAAAACTCGCTCCAATTCTCACCCCGGCGTGAACCAACAACAACGACACGAGACTCCTTTCCGGTTAATTCATTCGCACGAGGTATATTGGCTTATATTAACTTTTTACAATGTTTGGAGTTGTTTGGAGATTGAGAATTGTTATAATATGTTTGAATGTGTTAGTGTTTGAAGATTGTAAATTACTAATTGATTATCGATTATGTATGTATGTTAAATTCGAGATTGGAATTTTGTGTGTAAATTATCAATTTTGTATTGTTTGGTTGTTGTTGGGGTTAGGGTTTTTGGAAACTAGGGCTTTCAATTTATCCGAATTATAGATAAATTTGATGTTATTGTTCGATAAGGGTATTAGGTTTTGGAGGATTATATGATTGGTAATATTTTTTTATTTTATTTTTTTTTTGTTGGAGTAATAAAATGTGTTTTAAATTTTAGACATTATTTTGTTGTAATTTGTAAAATATAAATTTTTAAGTGCAACAGGTTATAAATGGCGTCTATCGGTCCCTACATTGTTAATGTGTACTGGAAAATTCCTAAGAGTGAGTTAGGAAATTTTTCGAATTATTTGGCTAGTCCGGATTGTTCATTTGTTATTAATGGAATAATATCATATGAACAATTGGTAGATATGATTTACGAAAATGGTGGATTTCGTGATAGTTGGACCATTTCGGATATTACTTTGATGATCAAACAACCGGATGGTTCGTTTATTCCCGCAAGACTGAATAATGATAGTACTCTTTCATGGATTTACTACTATCCTCCTATATCCTTTGTGTTTTTGTATATTGTGTTGGAAGCAAACACACAGGTTACACATGTTGAGGATCCTACGCCATCATATGGTTACGGGGGAGTGTTTGGTTGTGAGGGTACGTGGAGTACGCATGCCGGTAATTTTGGTGAAGGGACGAGTAATTTCAGCGAAGGGACGAGCTTTACCATGAGAGGACCAGACATTGAGGAAGAAATTGTTGGAGATGAAGATTTCAGTCCCGGTGAAGACGATTTAACTGATGAGACCTCGGAAACCGAATCGGACAGATCAATTAATGAGGAAAGTGAACAAGAATTCATTGAAGAACACCCCTTTCCAAATGAAGGCCTCCACGTATATCGCGAGATGGGTGAGTGGGACCGTCGTGTGTAGACAGGGACGAGTATGCCTTGCCACTTTGGAATGGGCATGTCGAGACTATCCGTTTGGGTACAGTTTTTCGTACCAAGGAATAAGCTCAGACTTGTGTTATGGCATGGAATGTTGAGAATCTTAGGGCTGTCCGGACAAAAGATTCCAACAAGAAGTCGTTCAAAGTTGTGTGCAGATCGTCTGAAGGTGTACCATGTATGTGGAAGGCTCGGGTGAGTCTTAATCCACGGGTGCACGACATGTGGGAGGTAACCGAATGGACCGACAGGCACACTTGCATGCAGGTGGTCGAGAGAAATGACCACAAGAATGTGACGACCACCATGATCTCAAATCTTCTGTTGCCTAAGATTCAGAAGTAGGTGACCTACAGTGTGGAAATGGTCCAGGCCGATGTAAAAAGTGCCTGGAGTGATGTGAGCTACAAGAAGGCGTGGCACGGGAGAAAAAAAGCCATCGATCGCCTGTATGGCACGTGGGAATCAAAATTCACACAACTCCTCCAGTAAGCAAAAATTAATTACCAATGTATTTACGTGTTTGTAACTATATTTATTTATTTATTTATTTATTTATGGGTACTTTTTTATAATTTTCAGGTTTATTGCTGCCCTTCAAAGGGCGAATCCCGGCACAGTCGTTGAGTGGGAATGGCAGGATGGGGAAATGGCTCGTCGTTCTCGAGACAGAGAATTCAAATTTGTCTTCTGGGCGTTCAGGCCCGCCATTCGAACCTTCCATCTTTGCTCGCCGATTATTAGCATCGACGGCACGTACCTGCGAGGTTCGTATAAGGGGAATGTACTTGTTAATTGCAAATGTATTTTCTATTTTCTAACATACAATAGTGTCTGATAAAAAAAACATATGTCCAACTGAGCAGGTTCGTACAAGGGGAAGCTGCTTGTTGCCATAGCACAAAAAATGCGAATAAGCGTCTATTGCCAGTCGGATATGCAATTGTGGACGAAGAAAGCACGGCTAGCTGGTCCTTTTTCCTAACACATCTGCGCAATCATGTCCTCTCTGACAGGCAGATATGTCTTCTTTCTGACAGGGACAACGGCATATTGAGTGCTGTTGATTTACTGGAGGCTTGGCACGAACCCCATGCATTTCATCGGATATGCCTTCGACACCTCCGGAGCAACGTGGTTTCAAGGTATTGGAGTAAGAAAGTCCGGGTTCTGTGCTGGAGGTTGGGTTCATTTTGTTCTCGTTGCAAATTTGAGCATGCTCGACAGCAACTGCAGGAATGTCACCCGGAAGCATGCAGTTACCTTTTCCAGATTCCTTTGGAAAAGTGGACACTGTACAAAGATAACAGACGTCGATGGGGCACTCTGACAACCAATATGTCAGAGAGTTACAACAACGTCCTCAAAGGTGTTAGGTTCCTGCCCTGCAGAGCATTAGTACAGGCGACAATGGCCCGATGGGAGACACTCCACTGAGGTCAGGGAATGACCGGGAGGGCATATACTGATTGTGCCGTCTTTCATTCGGAGCTTGGGAAGACTTGGGCCGAACATAGAGATCAAAATGTCCTCCCACATCAACCGGTGGAGCAGTTCCTAGAGACTGAGGAGGGTTACATTGAT